GGAGAATTCCATCCAATGAAGGTTGAGGGGGGGCTGCACTCCAAGGTCAGGGTCAGCGATTGGGTCCCCGGGGTCAGTGGTCAGGCACACCCCCACACGGATGGGCTCTCTCATCAGGAGAGGGCCGGGAAAAACTTCGACTTATGCCAAAGTGCCTCAGACCCTCAACGGGAGGCACCCGATCACGTGTGAGAATGGCTCCCAACAGCAAAGTACTGTAGAGGGGGTGGTTTAGAAACAACAGGTTTCTCACAGTCCTGGGACTGGTGACTGAAACTAGAATGGCTGGTTCTCTGAGGGCCCCCATCTGGATTGCAGATTGTCTTCTCCTTGTGTCCTCACCTGGAAGAAAGAAGGTGAGAGAGCACTACTCTTATTCTCCAAGGCTACACCCTCATGACCCAATCATCTCCCAAAGCCTCACCTCCAAATGCCATCACTGTGGAAATTAGATTTCAACATAGCATGATGGCCCTTGCTATATGTCTCACCTGTTTTCTAACATTTCACCTATCACTCTGTGTCTCCTACCACAATCTGTACTCCTTAAGACTGGATGCTGTTTCACCTGCTTTTGTGATGAAACGCCACCATCCTCAGTCTGCAACGGGTGCTATGCACTGTTTGTTGATTTTACTTGGAAGAAAAAAATTAGTATGAARCCTCAGCCTCTTGGCTGGAAAGATTCCTTCACAGATCTTTCAGTGTTTCTGTGGTGTCACCTCAATTTGGCATTATATTTTGAGTTCTCTATCAAGTGCTTTGCCAGAGATTCTGAAGGAAATCATAAAATGTGTATCCCAGAATGATACCTAAACATCTTATTCCCCTGGCAGAAGCCTCATTAGCTCGCCGGGGTTTAGAGCAGACTTACTAGGACACAGTATGCGTCCAGGAAGTCGGATATACATCCTCTTAGGCCGATTATTACTGGGACGTGTCAATAAGTTAAAAAACGAATCACATTGTTTCCCAGGTCCTGTCATACACGTGGATGCCCAAACGTTCTCCTGATGGTGGAGAAAAGAGTGGAAGAGAAACTAGGGGTCGTTCCGGGGGAGCGCGGCCCCCACCCTCTACCCGACGCAGTGACCAGGCACAGCGGCCGCGCCGTCCTCCAAAGCGCCAGCGTGGAGTCCTCGCCCGGATCAGCACGGTGCAGCGGCCAGGGCCCGCTACCGTCGCAGGATCCGAGCTGCGGGACGTGGACGTTGGCTTCCGGACACTCGCCATGAGACCTAGGCCTACGAAGAAGAAACTGCCACCGCCAAGCTGGCCCTCCGTCCCGCAGGACGCTCTATCTGCAGGGCACAAGAGGAAAAATGGCGAAGTCCGCGAATCGCCTGAGGAAGTGAGGCCGGAAGTTGTATGGTTGCCGGGGCAACAGGCCGAGGCGTCCTTCCCCCTCCGCGCCAAAGACACACACCTCGCGCCCGCCCCCGCTCATACACATGCGCATCTCCCGCTGCGGCCTGCCCCTGCGCCTGCGCACCACGCACCCCGCCTTTCGTCCGGGCCGTCCCTGCCCCGCCCCGCCTCCACGGCCGGGCGGAAGCACTTGGGCGGAAACGGAAGTGAAGCCGAGGCGGCGGGGCGGAGGGTGGGGTGGGTGTGTTGGCGGCCCTTCTTCGCGTCTCTAGGTAGGGCCGGCCTAGGGACCTGACAGTGGCCGGTGGGCCGCCGGGATGGTGGCGAGGGTCCGGAGGGGTGGCGGAGGTGCGGACGAGGGGCCCTCTGCGGCGGCCCGGGTGGCGGCCGGGATGGTCGGGGGCGGTGGCGGAGGCTCGCGCGGGGGCAGGGCGTGCACCGCCCGGAGGCCGCGGGGAGGGGGAAGCGGAGGGCGAGGTGGGGGCCGGTCTGCCGCGGGGTGCAGAGCCTTTCCTTTTTGACGCCAACTCTGTGCCTGATCTCTGACCGTCCGGTCCTGGGACTTGCTTTTGGTCCCTTTGCCTCGCTCGCGGCCTTCATGCATTCTCTGATTTTTTATTTTCTCATCCTTTCCCCCATCTCCCGCATCGCCATTGGGTTCCCCTATAGTTTAGAAGCTATAGCTGTGCTTTTTTGCCGGTTGAGCTCTGGGGGAGAAGCGCCACCAGCACAGCGGTGTCAGGTCATTCGCTGCTCTTCTAGGCCTCCTTGCCTACCAGTTTTTAAAATCTCTCACCACCTAGTCTTTCAACCCTTTGGCCCACGGAGAGGAATACAGTAGGTGACATCTGAGGTCCCTTGAAGTTTTATAGCAATCCAAGATTCTACCCTATTCCTGAATTGGAATCTGGGTATCATTTATGAGGCAGATTTACTTGAAACTAATGAAGTTCAGTCTTTCATGTCCCTCAGTCGCGTGGGTTGCTTCCAAGGCCCTGGGAACTCTGCTGTCCTGTGTTTATGATTTGTTTTTTGTTTTTTACAAAGAAGAACCCCAAGTTGTATATTTCATTCCCTATACAACTTGCCGTTTGTCATACTCTGCTGCCTTGAGATTTACCCTCTTGTCCATCCGACCTTCCCCTCCCTAACTCGTGCTCCTTCATCTTCTAGGGGTGCTCATATGGACGAAGGGTGTTAAGCATGAGCTAACTCAGCTCGTTGGGCAGGACTCTTGCCTTGCAAGTGTAAGTGCAGGTATTGTTAGATTCATTTCCCTACAGAGTTGCTACCTCCTTTAAGAGGTTGATGGTGAAATGCATAGGAATCTACTTAGCTGAAGTCATAAAAGCACTCCTACCTCCATAGAAACTAGAGTTGTACACCGGGAATTCATTCAGAGGAATTTATTGCTACCTTTTTTATTACTATATTATTGCTACCTTATTTTATTACTTTGAAAACAGGGCAATCCTAATGTGATCAGTTATTTTTATAGAGTATAATAATAAACAAATAATTGCATTTTAGTTTGCTTTTGGACATGTTTCTTTGTAAGGTATTTTATTGGAAAATCTTAAGGGATTTTAAAGTTTAAGTTATTAAAATGAACAATAATGCTTAAAGTTTTTCTAGAGGAGTTTTAGTAGTTTAGAGTCTACCAGATTAGGAGGTAAATTATTATTTTTTACAAGTTATTAGTGAGTACGTAGATTTGTCTTCATTCATACAGTGAATCTGTGCATTTGTTAGCCAAAAAAAGCCAGCTCCTGAGCACCATTGATAGACATAGTATTGCTCAGTGACTATGTAAGTCAATTTATTATAGAACTTTTTTAAAAATACTTTTTTAGTTGTAGATGGACACAATATCTTTATTTTGTTTATTTTTATGTGATGCTGAGGATCGAACCCAGTGTCTAACACATGCTAGGCAAGCACTCTACCACTATGCCACAACCCCTTAGTACTTTTATTATAAAGTGGGCCACATTATATCCTTTAGTGTATCTGCTTGCACACATCTGCATATGTATGCCAGGTTCTGTAAAAGTGGTCAGTATTAATACTGTCGCGTTAGGAACCCAAATTTAACTCACTACAGATTCTTGCAAATTATTACAAAGTCATTTACAATATAACCATTGCCAACTTGAAACAGAGAAGCAACTTCCTGAATAGAGATTTTGGGACAATTTAGGTTTTTGCTCATGAAGCACCAAGATAACCCATTTAGGATGGAAATTGTTCTATAATATGTTCTTTTTCTGCCTAGTGTGACAAACATTCCTCAGTGGTCTCACATGAATATTGAACTGTATGTAGTTTTTTAATGTTGTGATATAAACAGTGATGCAGATCTTTCCTGGAGTTTTTAGGTCTCTGCTTTTTTTTAGTGGGGTCTTTTTTTGTTTTTAATTCTTTTTTTTTTTTTTTTTTTTTAGTTTCCCTGTGTCAGCTGTCAGAACTTCTTACTGCTGTCGGTATACCTGCCTAAGGTTGCCCTTTCCATCATGTATTCTTCTCTACTTGCTACTTTGGGTTTAGTTGTTAGAACTGAGGAGAAAAATAGTCCATAGCCGATAAGAGCCTGAAGGAGTTTCTCCTGAAAATTTTGTTTTAGCTTTAACTTGTGGATTTTTTGATATATATCAGACCTTATTCTGAATCCTGAATAAGTAAGGCAGCATAACTATTTGTAGGTATACTCACATTTTTGTGTGTGTTGAGTGACATTGTTTTCACAGTGCTTCCTGCACTTGTAAGAAGATTTGTAGAACTGCAGTTGGGTAAGGAAAGGCAAAGGGCTGTTGGGAAAAGCCAGAGACCCTCTTGTCACTGTTATCCTTGGAGGGCCCTCGGAATGACTAGGAATAATCTGTGGGTAGGAGACTGTAGGCCCTCCTGGTGTGCGGTGACCAGGTCACCCTCAGATGCATCTGTGTCAGTGGAGGGGTGAGGCCTAAGGAAAGGAAGACAGGCTTTTGAGATTGGTGGGCTTGGATGCTGCCATTCCTCTTAGTTAATGTCTGTGGCCTTAAGCAAGTGGTTGTTTTCACCTAGCACACACTGTCAATTTCCTCCCCCATAACTACACCTGTACTACTCTTTACTGCAATGTGTCCTTGAGAAAAGAGGCTGAACAAAACTGATGTGTGGGACTAGGGGGCCCATCTGCCACGGGGCTTTTGAAATAAATTACACATTTAAAGTGTCCCATTGGTCACATTTTGACATGTGTACGGCTCCAGATTTTCTTCTGTCCTGCAGGAGCCACCATCTGGTTCATACTTTATCCACAGCCCTAGCAGGGCTCTGGAGTGTGGTAAACACTCCTTGGGCATTTACTTAGGTGAGTGTGGGAATTTGGTTAGGCTGCCAAGTACAGTTATCCTTATGCAGGGGTCAGGCACATGTGAACTGTTCATGTGCCCAAGAGACCTAGAGGAACCTTGGCATAGGTCAACATGAGGTGGGGCTAGGCTGAGGTGTGCTGCTCTGTCAGTTTCCACAGATGTTTAGAAGTTGAAAGGAGTAAAGGAGTTCCTGGATTTGTCTTTTTTCCTTCCACTTCACGTTTTAGTAGCCCAGCAATTGAGACAGGCTTCTCTGTCAGAGGAAAGTGCAGCTTGGCCTAGGAGCAGCAGCCTCCAGATCCACTGCGCCTGCAGTTCCTTGTAGCTCCTCAGAACTTCCTGCATTGATGTTGGTGTTGATTTTGCAAGCCCTGTGTTGGGCTGCTGGAGGATAGCATTTCTTCACATTCTATCCTAGGATCCATGTGGGGTCTCAGAAATCTTTGTGGATTTCTATTATACATTTGCCCTTGCATTTATCTATTATTTCAAATAGATTTGGGGCCCCTTATATGAGACATTGTGCTAGATGTTGGGATGAGACAGATGACCATGTCGTTGTCCCGAGTGGCCCACCTTAATAGTGGTGGTTCCCCAGTGTCCCACACTGTATTTAGGGCAGTGAGACTCCTACCTAATGAGACAAGATTCCTACTTTCTTTCTAAATGGCAGTGATCAACATATAAAAAGTTCCTATATGAATTGCAGGGAGAATTAATTGAAATCTCAATTATACGTATTTGTTCAGTCATTCTTTAATAACTGCCTTTATAGAAGGAGAAGCCTCCATATATGCATTCAGCAGTAAAGGGAAAACAAAAAGTAATTACTTGAGGTGATAGGCGCAGTTTCCTGTCCTTTTGGACACTTCTGTCATCTCATGCTGACTGCACTTGTGCTTGGGTGATGCTTCCAGACCTGGCCATCAGGGACTTTGCTCTACAAAGTGGGCGTGGCTAGTATTTAGCACTTGAATTCATGAAAGTATGGGAAGGCCTCCTTCAGCTTCATGTATTCCCAACTCCTTTCCTACCCTGGTTCTTTTTTGGAAATGCCAAAGGAGAACATTTTTTCATGTCGCATACCTGAGATTTATCTGTGACTCAAAATGTGAGAAATTGGCAGTGTGAAAGGCAGGAAAAGCTTGTGCTTGCTCAGGTCAAACAGTGGGCTTTTCACTACTAGTGTGAGAAAGGGGCAGAAACATCTGAATAAAAGCAGAGTCTGGCTTCTTGCAAAATAAAGTGGTTATTTTGAGAAGTTTACTGTTGTCATTTACAGTTTCAGTAGAAAATGATTGCATCAAAAAAATTTTTTTTTAATGTCAAGGAAAGGAAGACAAGTTCAAATGTGACAAAACCTGCTGTGCAGGTGGGGGCATCATTCTGGAAAGCGATTGGTGGGGTTTCTGTGCCCAACTCTTAGCTCTCTCTCCACCTGTGTGCTGTTTTCTCCCGGGTCTTGAGTGGCCCAGCCAGAACTTCTAGGAGCTGTCTGAACTGAGGGCTTATGGGAAAGGAATCAGCAGGGGCTAGCCATGCACTCTGCGATATCCCAGCTCTCAGCACAGACCTGTGAAGGACATAGAACTGAGTTAGTCTCTGATTTATAAGATTTATCTTTGACCTGCTTAATTCAAAGTAAGGCATAACATAACAGTTTAGAGTCTATTCTAACCAACATTTGTATTTCTTTCCCAAAGCCTGTGCCCTGCTTACTATGTTATAACAACATTGAGGAATACCTTTAGGAGCCAGGCATATATCTCAGTGGTAGCTCTTGCTTAGCTCCTGTGAGGCTATATGTTAGATCTCTAGCACATGAAAAAGCAGTGTAACCATCGTGGAGAAAAGATCCATGTCCATGAATCCAACAGAAACCCAACAGCTAAGAGATAATTATGTTATGAGGCCCAGTTTCTACTGTAGTAACTCCATACTTTGACTTTGTTTCCATAGCAAACTCTATACTAGTGATAGTGAGTAGTGATTTGAGGCATATGTATTCATATAGTCTCTTTAATAACATATGGTCAGGACTTTGACGAGTTTCCATATATAATAGGTGATATTTATCTCTGCCCATATATTATATATTTTCATTTTTAATGACTATTAAACAGATAGCTTCAGATTAAACCATTACAGGTCAGTGTCCAGTAGCAATAAGTATATTTTTTAAGATAGTCTTATGAGGGTGTCTGTCGTCATCACAGTGATTTGTTTACAGTTCCTTCACTTGTGATTTAGAACTTTTGATTTCTATAAGGGTTTCTTCTTTTTTTGTTTAAATATTTATTTTTTTAGTTTTAGGTGGACACAATAACTTTATTTTGTTTTTATATGGTGCTGAGAATCAAACCCAGTGCCTCACACATGCTAGGCGAGCTCTCTACCATATGAGCCACATCCCCAGCCCTTCTATAAGGGTTTCATTAGAGTTGCCTTATAGATTAAAGTTTGTATGTGTAGATGCCCAATTCAGCATGGTAGCTGGTAAGTGCACTGAAAAATGAGGGCTGCTGATATGTGCTTGGACATGACCCTGATGGTTCAGAAGAAACCATGGTGAATGTGTGCTTGGATGTGGGACCTGACAGCTCAGAGGAGACTGTAGTGATTGTGTGCTTGGATGTGACCCTGGTCGCTCGGAGGAAATTATGTGAATATGTACACATTGAGATCCAGGAGGTCCTCATAGAATGTTTTCTGAGCATTGATGATTTTTCCTTGCCTAAAGGAGGACATCATATGATATGAATGTATTTTGTTCCATTTTTATTTTTATAAACTTAGTTTTAATTCTTTGAGCATTTTCTATTTGATTTTAGCTTTTAGAGTGGGCTATTTTTTTTCATCAATCACAAATTCAGATAGTACGATGCTTAATAAGATGAATTTGTATGAATTTTTCTTTTCAATTCATTTATTGAGATCTGCTTGATAACAGTTTTCCGTATACAGTTTGAAAAGTTTCATGATAGCATTATGCAATTGTAAAACTCTCAGCACAGAGTAGTCCACTTGTTTATGACCACGTAGTGTCCCCTTGGGAATTCCTTGTGCTTTGCTCCCCACATGGTGGTTACCACTGCTCTGCTTTCTGCCATTACAGACTATCTTAGCTCTAAGGGAGCTAGAACTTTTACAAGTTGAGTCATGTGTATGTCCTTTTTTGTCAGCAAATGTACTTTAAATTTTTTCATTTTGCATATTGTAGTATGTGTTGTAGGTTTTTAAAATACTATTTCAGTTTCTGCATGAGTAATAATTACTTTTTTGGAAAGTGTTGACTTCTCTTTGTGGTTGAGAAATATCTTGAGTCTTCAATAGTGAAAATTTAAAAGATTGCTACGTGTGTTGTCCTTGTGATACTCCTGTCATTAATGTATGCTTAGATTAGATAAAGTGCCTTGTATTTTAATTGAACACTCTTTAGGCTCCTAGCCAGCATGTCATGTTTGGTGACACGAGTCTTTTGGAATATTAAATATTGCCTTGTGTTTGCTTTGAAAAGTGCCATATGTCTAGTGAAAATGCCATAGTTGCTAATTATGGATTTCTTTTTCTTTGCAGATCCTTTTCCAGAGTCCAGTTATGGGTGTGAGAGGTCTGCAGGGGTTTGTGGGAAGTACCTGCCCACATATATGTACAGTAGTCAATTTCAGAGAGCTGGCAGAACATCACCGAAGCAGGTACCCTGGATGTACTCCTACTGTTGTGGTGGATGCCATGTGTTGTCTCCGATACTGGTACACTCCAGAGTCTTGGGTCTGTGGTGGCCAATGGCGAGAATACTTTTCTGCTTTGCGAGATTTTGTTGACTCCTTTGCATCTGTTGGCATCAAGTTGGTATTCTTCTTTGATGGTATGGTGGAACAGGGTAAGAGAAATGAGTGGGTGAAACGAAGACTTAAGAACAACAGGGAGATCTCTAGGATTTTCCATTACATCAGGTCACACAGGGAGCAACCCGGCAGAAACATGTTCTTCATCCCCTCGGGGTTGGCTATATTTACACGGTTCGCTCTGAAGACTCTGGGTCAGGAAACTTTGTGTTCATTGAAGGAGGCAGACTATGAGGTGGCTTCCTATGGTCTCCAGTACAATTGTCTTGGGATTCTTGGGGAAGACACTGATTACTTAATTTATGACACGTGCCCCTACTTTTCAATTAGCGAGCTCTGCTTGGAGAGCCTCGAGACCATCATGCTCTGTCGAGAGAAGCTCTGCGAGAGTCTGGGCCTCCGTGTGGCAGACCTTCCCCTGCTAGCCTGCCTACTTGGCAATGACATAATCCCAGAGGGCATGTTTGAAAGCTTTCGTTTCAAGTGCTTATCTTCCTACACTTCTGTAAAAGAGAACTTTGATAAAAAAGGTAACATTATCTTAGCTGTATCAGATCATATATCCAAAGTTCTTCATTTGCATCAAGGGGAGAAAAAATTAGAAGAGATGTTGCCTTTGGGACCAAACAGGGCTCTTTTTTATAAAGGAGTGGCATCATATCTCTTGCCAGGACAGAGCTCACCATGGTTCTTCCAAAAACCCAAAAGTTTAATAATGTTGGACAAGCAAGTAATTTCCATGAGTTCAGACCCTGAATCCAAGCAAGGAGTTCCCATATGTACAGAGCCTGAATCCAAGCAAGGAGTTCCCATATGTACAGAGCCTGAATCCAAGCAAGGAGTTCCCATATGTA